TTATTACATGTCATTGTTTTGACTTTCGATCTTTACATACTTGAAAGCCTTAGACTAAACAAATTCAACCACGTAAATTTTGTGTTCTTACAAAAATTTGAGCAAATGAGACGGCCCAATATTTCAAATCTCATTATCTTCAATATCAATGTGTAAATAATTAGACATGAAATGAACACTAGTTCTAGTAATACCAACTCATCATGATGAATTTTGACTTTGGTGTTTCATTGAATATGACACATGTGAGAACTACGAAAGGACTTTTGTGGCATAGATTTCTGGAATAAAGTTGGATAAGTATTGCCCCGGTTAAATCAAGTTTTGCAACTAAATTATGCTATTAAATAATGAATAATGATAACTTAGATTAAGATCTTGAGACAAAAATTTAAAACTAATAATATAATATAAGTTACATTATTTAGAATATTAAAAGGTAAGTTTTATTATTTAATAATTAATTTATTTATTTATTTTTTACATCAAATGATTAATTGATTGAGATCACATAAATTTAAATTTCTAACTTCAATCATAAATAAAAAATTTTAAATTAATAAATATTAATTCAATCACACCCTTGTTGGTAACTCTTTGTATATTATTAAAACTTAAAATATTAAATACATAAATTTATTTAATAATATAATTTCTACGAATAATTAATTTTAAATTATCATCTAAATTTTCATTCACCATACCATTACTCATAAATAATTTAGGTATGAATTTCGAGAGTAAAAGAAGAAAAGAAATATTTGGAATCTCAAACTTGTTATTCCTATAAATTAAATGCAGATTCCATAAACGAAAACGTACAAATACAGGGGGATATATTCCATCCAGCTTAAGCTTCACAACCCCAATAATAATAAAATAAATACAAGGAAAACAATGCTAGCTAGCAATCTATAGGTCACATCCTCAGGATATGCTGGAGAACTTCTCTTTTATGTTTGGTTTTTTCTAATAATTTTTTTAATTGGTACGCAGAACCTTTTCTACAAGCGTTTATTCTTTTTTCTTTCTTTATAAATTCTACGAGATTTTATCACACGTTTTTTTACATCAAAACAGCAATCTCTTTGGTTTTTTTAAATTAAAAAAAAAAAAACAGACAAAATTTTTTGGACAGGTCTCAAATCGTCTAGAAGGAGCTAGGATTAATTAAGTCGGTAATCCCTATCATGAAAATAAATAAAATAAATAATTTTAAATTTGAATTATAAATATATACATGAAGTGGGATGAGTAAAAAGCTACTTATAAGTATGTAATTCAAAATTAAAACTATTTGAACCGAAAACCTTGTAATTCTCAAGTAGTTAATAATAGTGTTGAAAATTGAAACTTATGTACCACCTCAAAGCTAGCTATATATGTGCATCCACAAGTCAAGGACCCACAGAAATTAATATAGGAAGAAACATGCATGCTTCCAACCGAAATTAGTACGGCCATAATATCGTTAAAAGTTTTTTTTTTTAATTTTTAAAAAATAAATTAAGAATGTAATAAATATATATTTTTTATTATTAATTTTTATTAAAAATATAAATATTAATTTTAGTTTAATTAATTAAAATTAGTTATGTATTAATAATATTAAATTATATTAAAATATATATAAATTTTTATATGAATTAATTATAAAAATATATTTATTACACATTTAATTTGTTTTTAAGACACGCAAGTTAAATAAATCTTATAATTAGTTATAATATTTTATAAATTTATAATTATAACATGTTAATAAATAAGTTAATATATATAATATTATAAATAAACTCTTAAATAAAAAAAATTAATAATTTAATTATAAATTTATAACAGCATGTATTAGTGTAACTTATGTATAACATTTTTGAAGTTAATTGGATAGTCATTGGGCTGAAATTGACAGACGGAAATGAGTAAAGCATGAAGGCCTCGAGGAAAATGCGAATGTGAAAGGAGCGAAAACTACGACAATAACAATAACAAAAAAGGAGTTAAAAGGTAGAACACCCCACATCTGTCACTTCAACTAGAAGGTCCTCCTTACTGTAATTTTTTGGCTCTGTCCTCCTTAATGTTTTCATATGCGCAATTCCGTTTCTTGTCATTACTAACTCCATTTCTTGTCCTCACAATTAGGAATTAAGCTCTGCCACTAAACATTTGATTGTTTAGGATTTTTTTTTTATTAAACTCTTGGTATTTGATAACTATATTAAATCTTAATTAATTTAAAATCGAATCACGTCAGATCTCATTAGGGGAAAGATCTCTCAACCCTTGTTTTTTCATTTATAGAATTCGAATTTAAAATTTTATTTAAAGAAAACCAAACTATTTTTATTCAAACTAACAGATCATTGGTTAGGATATCCTTAATTGTACCCAATATCCTGTTTTGGCAAACAACCCTATTTTTACCGATGTCTTAGTCCCATCAACTCCTAATAACTACCCTTTAATATCAAACCATGTCTTATATAGTCTTTCTTGCCACTAATGTCTTGGGGGGAAAAAAAACTGTGTGATGATAGGCTAAATACAATCCCTTTAAGAGTAGAGTGGAAAAGGGTTGACCCTAATCACGGCTCTCATACTAGTTGGTATAATAATACAATAATGTTTTGTACTATGAATTACAAAACATAAATTATTAAATTAAAAAGTTCACTTTATCTAATAATTTTAGCTATGTTATTTAATAAAATATAAATTATATAACATTTTTATAATTAAAAAGATAAAAACAAGATATTTAAACTTTCAATTAGAATTGCAGGTTTCTTTTTTACTGATACTAAAAATTAAGCTGATTAGTACATAGTTTAGTCAATGTTTATATATATGCAAGCTGTACTTTGGTTGGAGCTCCAAGAAAACAGTATTAATTAAATGGAATATTTTAGTCTCCCCCCTCTCCCCATAAAATTGATGGAGGATTCATTTTGAAGCTCAAAGCTCAACAAATCATCTTGACCTTATCATCAAAATCTTAATTGATAACCTAATTAAGCCAATTAATCTTTGTCTCTGCTTGAGATTCTGTTAATCAAAATCCGCAATTGGGGCACGCAGACACAGATTCAGATCCACTTGCCAAAACACATAAATCCAAAAACAGTTTGAATTTCATTATTAAGGGTAAACATGTTTAGTTGGCTTAGTGACATGTCTTCTCACGTGATCTTAATTAACTCAAAACATAACCACCAGCTTTCTTGTCTAAACATGAAACGTGCACTCACACGAAATTTGTTTAAACACTTTCTTTTGTCCTAATTAATCTATTTCATTTTCGTGCAAGCAAGACAATGCTGTCACCTGGTCTGTACGTGCCAAAGTCTCATTGCCTTTATGCTTTTCATTATTTATTTTTAATTACCTAACAAAAGAGTGTTATATAGTATGAATTATTTTGAATTATATAATTTTAATCATCGAGTAAAAATGTGTCTTTTGATACGATGGATTTTTTCTTCTGCTCAATAATTTTTATTTTACAGTTCAGTACAGGGAACTAATCACTTAATCTGCTTTTGAAACAGCCCTTGTTGTTGTTTTCTGGCTTCTTATCTAAGACTATTAGAATAGGAAATTGATGCACGGACACCGTGTTCACTACTCTTCTTCCCGGAAGAAGCAAAGGGCTTCAGGCGCAAGTAAGGTTCACGAGGAAAATGTATCTGTACCATATATCTACTAATCGAAAACGATATAAGTTTATATTGATTTGTCATGTGTCGATGAAGTTTCGCTAATTAGGAAGATATATACCCAACTCTCGACAGTAACATGTTACATGCTACCAATCTTGCTCCAGGATTTTTTTGCCAAAGTAGCTGTCAATGCGGATACTTTCCAATCCCAAATCCCGAATCTGCTACGGCCACCGCCAGAAGGAATGAATCATTTTGGAGTTTACAGGTTAAACCATTTGAATCATGCCGTTGAGGGAAATGGAATGTCAAAGTCAGGCCAATTGGATTTTGTCATGCCGGCCCGGGATGCACCTTCAAGCTACATGTGGGGCCTCTGATTTAGCCCCGTACGAGACCAGCCCAGAGAGAGACATTGATATTTCCTTTCTTGCTTCCTTTACGGCGCCTTCCAGTGGGTAGAATGTTTAGTGGGCTTTAATCGTGAGCCTCAATATTAACGTACCAAAGAAAAAGAACAAAAACAAAACTTTTTTTTTTCCTAAATTATGAAAAAATATATTTAAAATTTTTTTATTAGTTAGTTTATTAAATTTTTATATATATATATTTTTAATCCTTAAATTTATAAATTTAGTATTAAAAACATGCATATATTATAAATTTAAGAATTAAAATCATACATATTAAAATAAATTTAACGGATTAATTAACAAAAAATTAAAAAATATATATATTTTTCATGGTTTAAAATAAAAAAGTGTAAAAATAATTTAAAGACTAAAAATGTTCAAAAATGAAAGTTTAAGGACTTAAAAATGGCATTTAACCTAAATAGGATCTCACATGCCTCTCGTGACTAAAATTGTTGGACAAGAAAACCTCTAGATTGAAAGAAGCTTGTTATCTTAACAGGTGGGCAATATTGTATTTTGATGTGGCTTTCATTATATGAAGATTTTGTGGTCTAGAAAACTGGTTTTCATCTCTTTAATTAGGAAAGGATACCATTTTTGGTGAACCTCATCCAACCTCCTCATCGCTACCCTTTCTTAATTTCTCTTCAAAAGCTACAAGAAGCTGCAAGAGTTTGCTCGCAAAGACTCACATGGGTGGTTCAAGGGGGCATGTGACATCAGGCCTTGCATTCCTTGCACTTGGTTCATGGCATCTCTTTAATCACATCAAGCTCCATTTACTCCACCCAAATTCATACACATGTCCTCCATGGTTTCCCACCTCCAAAATAAGGTATATTGAGCTTCTCTTGATCATGCTTTTCTCCTCCATTTTCATCTCTACGGAGATCTTCATTGGCCATGAAAGGCACCGACCTCTTGACGCTGATGGAAGCATCTCAACAAATCGCCTCAACAACTTAGAACACTCTGCCATAACAATTAGCTTCTTTGTCTATGCTGCTTTTGCAATCCTCCTTGACAAAGCAGCCCCAAAAGCCCAACATGGCTGGACACAGTTCCTAGGAGCTCTAGCCTTTGCTCAACAGCTTCTCCTCTTCCACTTCCACTCGGCGGATCACATGGGCGTTGAGGGTCATTACCACCTTCTCTTCCAATGTGTGATTATTGTTTCTTTAGCCACTACTCTAATGGGAATTGGCATGCCTAAGAGCTTCATGATCAGCTTTTTGAGGTCCCTAAGTATTTTCTTCCAAGGGGTCTGGCTCATCGTCACGGGCTACATGCTTTGGACCCCGGCGTTGATTCCTAGAGGTTGCTTCCTCCACCTTGAACAGGGTCAAAAAGTAGTTAGATGCTCGAGCCATGAAATGCTACATCGAGCCAAATCATTGGTGAACCTTCTATTCAGCTGGCTCCTAGTGGCTATTGCCGTTTTTGGAGTCACTTTCTATCTTGTTTTGGCCAAGCTCTACGGTAAAAATGTTGAGCACTTGAGACTAGAAAAAGAAGAGGTAAAGGAAGAGACCGACCATGTTGAATTACAGGAGAAAAGCAAGCTGCTTGGGGAGTCAAAGATTTTCAGTATGGAGATTTGCACCAATTAACATTGAAAGTTCTAGTTGGTCGGTTTTGCGTTAATGATTTATCTATTAGGTACCATGGAGTATCAACTATCATGTTTCTGAAATCCCTTGAACAAAAAAGAAGAAAAAAACTTGTAACATCGGCAGTACCGGAAGTGCATCCAAATCCATCCATTGCTCTTAGTCATGGTTCAAGTTCAAAGGGACGGTCTATCTATGTTGTAAAAATTTTCATTTCCCGCAGCTCCCCACGTTGTCTCAATCATGGAAAGAACGTTACGTATATAAGAAAAAGTTACATTGCTATGATTTGAAAATGAGGCCACTTAGTTATACTACTAATTATCTTCTTTTTATAAAATTAAGCAACCTTCGGATAGTAAGAAACTTAAAATGATAATGCAATACAAAATCAAAACTAATAATGTGACATGTTATCAAATATACGTACGTGTAGATTAAGGGACATGGGATTGGCAACTATAATGAAAGGACACTGCCACTGTCCTTCCTGGAAGATGCTAATCTTCAAAGCTCATTAGATATTTTTTAGGAGGAAGGTTTCATGTCCATTAGTTAAATATTTAAATGTAATAGGTTTTTTAACTTATTAATGATGATTTGAATTTACATAATCTTCTTCCTTATCCCTTTCTTATCACTTTCTTTACAAGTTGAACTACTTATCATGTTTTATAAATTTTTTTTTTTTTAATGGAGTTTTTATAGGTTGTCAAGCTAGGCCAAGGTTCAACCACATGTCATGTCGACGAAATTTCTTTGAAATCGTGGTTCACTCCATACATCTTGAAATGAAAATTTGACATGAAACATATTTTTCCCATGGCCACAGGTTGCTTCTCAAGAACAGAACAGGGCCTTAAGTTTTTCTCCTTTTTTTTTTTAAAGGTTAAAACCTTAATTTGGTTTCTCTACTTCGACAAAAAAACCATTTTTTAGTCCCTCTACTTAAAAAATTCCCATTTGATTTTTAAACTTTGAAATATACATTTTTTTAATTTCTTTATTAAGTTTTGACATTAAATAACAAAAATTTCAAAAAGAATAGACAAAAAAATGGCTTTTTTCTAAAGTAGAGAACCAAAATGGGGCTATTTTTAGCCCATTTTTAGCTTTTTTTGGTTCCTCTAATTTAAAATTTCTATCATCTAACGTGCCAAGTATGCAAAATTTAACGAAAGGATTAAAAATGAATTGGATTTTAAATTTTAAGAACTGAAAAAGAATTTTTTAAGTAGATGAACTAAAAACGGATTTTTTTTTGTCAAAGTAGAGGGACCAAAATAAGGATTTAACTTTTTTTAAACAAGCTAATTCATTATAACTACATATTAAGAATAAGATTTAATGTTAGTAATAATTAGATTTGAAATCAGATCGAGGTAGTACACCACTGAGCTTTACTATTAGGTCACGAACGTAGTTAGCAACAGGGCCTTAAGTTTAATCCAGCCGAGACCGTGGGCTTTTCTGCATGCCAGTTT